TAGGGAGCACTTATATAATTTTAAACATGAAGTGGTTGCAGACCTTAGGGGAGACCAAGGTGGATTGTAAGGCATTGATTATGGAATTCATGGTGGGAGGGGAGGAAGGTAAGGATCAGGGGGGAACCTAGTCTATCCCAAACCAGGGTTTCTCTTAAGACCATGGTAGGGAAATCCAGGTAGCAGGGATGGGTTTCTTTGTGGAGCTCTAAAGCCTCAAGGGCGGGGTAAGCATGGTGAAAGAGGAGGAAGTTTCAGAGAAAGTCCAACCACTCCTACAACAATTCAATGATGTATTCCAGCTGCCCCAAGGCCTACCTCACTCAAGGGAGCATGAGCATGCCATCATCCTGAAGGAGCGGGTATACCCTATCGATACCCACAGGTTTACAAGGAGAAAATTTAGAGATTGGTCAAGGAGAAGTTGGAGGCCCAGATCATTCATCCTAGTGTTAGTCCCTTATCCAGTCCTATGTTGCAGGTGAAGGACGATAATTGGAGATTTGTGTAGATTACGAGGCTCTAAATAAGAAAATAGTGTTGGATAAGTTTCATATACCAGTCATTGATAAGTTGTTGGAAGAGTTATATGGAGTGGTGATGTTATTCAAAATTGATTTGAAATCGGGATAATATCATATTAGAATGCAGCATGCTAACATCCACAAGACTGCTTTCAAAACTCATGAAGCACTACAAGTTCCCTTTGGGCTTACCAACGCCCCAGCTACCTTCCAATGGCTTATGAACAAGGTATTTCAACCCTATCTCCGCAAGTTTGCATTGATTTTTTGCACTTTTGTGTATAACTAGTTTGAAGCAGAGCATGTGGAGCACTTAAGGGTCGTGTTAGTGACATTGCAGGAGCATCAACTGTATGCCAATTTGAAGAAGTGTTCCTTTGCACGGAAGAAGGTGGAGTATTTAGGATGTGATGTCCAAATTAGGAGTAGCTACAAATCTTTTTAAGATAGAGGTTATATTGGAGTGGCCCTTACCCAAAACCCTGAAGGAGTTGAAGAGGCTCTTAGGACTCACAGGATACTACAGGAAGTATATGAGGGGATATAGTTATATAACATGGTTGTTGACAGAGCAACTGAAGAAGGATAATTTCAAATGAGGGGCAACCATTGTGTCCCTGTGTTTGCACTACCATATTTAAGCCAACCATTTGTAGTGGAGACTGATGCATCAGGCTATAAGTTCAAAGTAGCCAGGTGTTGACTGCTAGGGATAGGCTAAAATTAGTGTATGAAAGGGAGAGAATGATGATAGTGTTGGAAATACAGAAGTGGCGACCTTACTTGTTGAAACGACATTTCATAGTCAAGATCGACCAGAGGAGTTTGAAGTTCATGTTAGAGCAAATGATGGTAACATAGATAATCGACGGTGGCTTTCCAAGTTGTTGAGCTATGACTTCGAGATCTGATACAAGCCTGGGCTGAAAAATAAAACTGCAGATGCTCTCTCTAGGTATGGTGAAGACCCTCAGGTTATGGCTCTAACTGTTCCCATGGTGGTGGATTGGGAGGCCTTAAAGGGTGAGAGCAAGCAGGATGAGGAGCTGAGTAAGATCAGAGGAGACTTATTGCAGGATAATAATAGTCATCCTGATTACTCTTTGATGATCAAAAGTTGTTATACCAGGGATGGTTCGTGCTTTCGAGGACATCGTCACACATCCTTCAATTGTTGCGAGAGTTTCATGGCACAACTATTAGGGGTCATTCAGGAGTACATAAGACATATCATAGATTGGTAGCGGATCTATATTGGATGGGCATGCAAAAGGATGTAAAGGAGTTGGTGGCCAGTTGTAATGTTTCTTAGAGGCACAAATACCTCGCTATGGCTCCAGGTGGTTAGCATTACCCGAGATGTGGGAAGAGGTGACTATAAACTTCATTGAGGAACCACTTAGATTAGAAGAATTCATTGGGATTGTAGAGGTGGCGGACAGAATGAGCAAATACGCTCATTTCGTTCCCTTATGCCGCCCATACACCACAGTGTTAATGGCAGTCGCATTTATTATAGAGGTGGTATGTTTGCATGGCATATATAAGACCATTATGTCTGATTGGGACATGGTCTTTCTGAGCCACTTTTGGAGAGAATTATTCAAGATGCACCGGACTATCCTGAAGTGGAGTACAACTTACCAACCCAGACGAATGGTTAGACGGAGGTGGTGAATTGCAGTGTGGAGACTTATCTTTATTGCTTTGTATCAGACACACCAAAAATGTGGGACAAGTGGTTCGCCTAGGCAAAATATTGGTATAATACTTCATATCATATAATAGCCCAGACAATGCCATTTAAAATCTTATATAAGAAGGGATCCACGTCATCTGATACATTATGGGCATGGCAACACACTAGTGTCATCAATGGAGCAGTACATGGGAGAAATAGATTGAATTCTGGCAGAATTGAGAGACCGTCTATGGAGAGCGCAGCAAATCATGAAGAAGCAGGTGGGTGGACATAGGAGAGATGTGCAGTTTAAGATTGGTGACAGGGTTTATGTAAAGATCCGATCTTACAAACAGAGAAATTTAGCTCAACACAAGAATAAGCTCTCCCCTCGCTACTTTGGGCACTATGAGATAATGGAGCGCATTAACACAGTAGCATATCACCTACAGCTACCACCAACCTCAGCCATCCATTCCATAATCCATATTTCATGTATCCCAACTGAGACGAGCTATAAAACCACACACCCATGACCGCACTACTGGCCTCACTGTTAGATGATATGGAGGTGATATTAGAACCACTAGAGTGAAATGGGTGCGCCAAGGAGACAGGGGTATTAGGGAGGCGCTGATCAAGTGGAAGAATTTACTAGAGTATGCAACGACATAGGAGACCTACAGTACCATCCAGAAGCAATATCCCTCTTTCAATCTTGAGGATAAGGTGGCTTTTTAAAAGGTGAGTACTGATAGACCGACGGCTGAACTGGTAAGCCCCACTAGGGTGGGCGGCCAGCAAGAAGCAAGGGGGGCTCAAAGGGGAATAATTCCACCTTTAATTTCTTACCATAGAAAACTAAATTGAGAGGAAATTAGGAAAGGTTTATTTAGAGAAAGGGATTGATTTGAATTCATATTTGGGAAAAAATTAGAAATTATTTATTTAGGGAAAAAGGGTTGATTTGAATTCAAATTTGAAAGGAAAATAGGAAGGTTTATATTATGGTTAATTGTGTTTCTTTTTTTTTTTCAATTATGTGAATTATGCTTTGTTGTAGTTTTCTTTGGAGTTGTTCCTAGAGGCACCTAGAGTTTGTGGAGAGCCAATCTACCTCTCAAATGGTAGATCAACTTATATCTTGGTTTTTTTGCCGAAATAAAAATCTTTCTTGCTGATTTCAGCATCGTTTTTTCTTCGTTATTGTTGTTTTTGTTGTGAGGAGATCGGATTCCTATCAAGATGTTTTACACAACTGCAGAAAGATTTCAAAAAAAAAAAATCTCAATTTTTTAAAATATTTAACATTGAAATCAATCCAAGCAACGAAAATTTTCATAAATAATCAATAAGCAATAAAAGGGTGAAACTTTAGCACCAAATCAAGTTTCTCCAAAGGGATTCAAACTGTTCAAATGCCAAATGCTGGATATTGAAAACGAGAACAGTAAAACAATGGAAACAACAAAAGGAAAGCTAATATTAAAAAAAGAAGTTTTAAAAGAAGGAAAAAGAAGAACACCATCCATACTTGATTGGAGCTTGGTAGTTTGATATATGAAACTGACACGCAATTGGAATTTGATCCTCGCCAGAACTCATACAACAAGGAAAGAAGGTGAGGGAGAGACCCAAAAGGATGCAGTCGTATAAGAAAAGTATTTTTTTTTTTTTTTTGAAGCTTCATGAAAAGAATCATAACTCTTATATATATATATATATATAGCCAAGGGAAAGGTACAAAAACTAAAATACACATATATCATGAAATAAGCATAAAACTAAAATAAAACAGTTCTGAATGGCACAATTACACAAAGAGATAAATGGGTGATAATCCTATTGCATATAGTGAGAAAAGATAATGTAATGTTACCCTTTTTTTTTTGGGTCGCCAGAGGATACTGAGTTGCAATAGATGAATCAACTGCTACATTATTCTATCTCTTCTCTTTATCCAATTTCCAAGATAATTTTTGCTCTTACACTTCTCACCCACTTACATATTCTCTAGCAAAATCTCTCTACATATTTAATTAAAAAAACCAGCACAATAAATTTCTCCTTCAAAACAACCGCCGGATGTTTTCACAAGCGCAAATCAATGTTCACATGAATAATATGCCGACTCTCTACATGCAAACCAAGGCCATGGCACACCGTGACAACCATTTGTATTTATAGAGATAATAACGATGTTCTTTCGATACAACAATCAGGTTTAAAATTTTACTTGTGTTATTCAAAAGAACACATTATCCTAACATACTTTCAAACCTGATTTCATCCCAAATAACAATTAGAATTTGATATTATCCTAACAACCTACCTATTTAATTGTGTGCTTATTTTGACTAAATTATATAGTAAAAAAGTTCTAACAAGCACAACCTATATTTTAACTTGTGCATAAAAACATAGCATAAGCATATAAGAACTTCAATCATTACCTAAAACACAGAGTGAAACCCTGATAAACGAATTTTTATTATGTGCGGAGTCTGGACGTCGTCCAGAGACCAACAAAAATGAGCCACGTCACCTCAAAAGTGTACCGCACTCGGTACCGAGCCAGTACCGACGCTCGGTATCAAGCGGGTACCGGACGGTTCTCCGGTCCGATGTCCGCACAGAATAATCTCTCCTAGTAAACGGTATAGAATCTTTGGAAAAGTAGGCGGAGTACAAGTTTGTAAGAAAGAGAGACAGAAGCTTCAAAACATGCCAATGAAATGCACATTTATATTCCATTCATAAAGTGATGTGACGTATTTATTATTAAGGTGTCTTACCTGAAAATCTGCAGAGGACGCAACACTGCAACAAAAATCTGACAGATCGGACATTCTGCGCTCCTCTAGCTCCGATGCGATTTCGTGATTGTTCACGGACAATCTTCCTTTGCTCATCTCATTCATGTAAACATCCTATAGCAGATATCATTGGTTAGATATAGCTAAGGATGAGCATCCAACAACAAAATGTCCTATCCCTGATAGCAAAGCATTTACCTTTGTTTTAATTGATTGGCTACTACAAAGAGGGACAATACCACTATCAGGATTGAGGTGAAATACTCGAGTATCGCGATGACAGAATTTGTCTTCATTTGCCTCTGTCATTTCTCCAATTATAAAGTGCTCATTATCCTGCAGAAAGCGGCAGCCTGGTGTAGGAAACTGGTCTTTGATAAACCTTATTTGCTCGCACAAATTATCAAGTTTTGCTTGGATGTTTTTGAGAGCCTCATCCTATCCAAGAAATATAAAAATAAGATTTTCTAACAGACTGATCTCTATTCTGAGAGACGACAAGGATTATAATCTAACGCCAGAAGAAACTCATTCAGTAAGTTCAATTTTCCCCTCGATCATATCAGGATTGAGAACATAATCTCAAAATTTCATTCAACAGTCGATTATTGAAGAAACTCATTCAATAAGTCCTTATTCAAGATTCATTCTTGGGACTAATCATGAACCGGAAGGAAACACAGCATTCTCTGCAAATTTTAGAAATTTCTTTCACTTGAATTCATTTCAGAAAGTATTTGTACCAAGAATTGAATTCAAATGAATAGACAAACAATGGAGGAAAATCCTTATTCAAAATACATTATATATAACAATCGATTGAAAAAGTCATTACCTTTGAAGAAATCTTTCAAAGAAATTAATCCAAAATATTAGAATAGCCAAGTTCAACGGTCGATTAGACAAATAGCGATGAGAGTAAAACGAATGAATGAAACTAACCCTAATTTCTACAGTACGCTGAAGCTGCGAGATTCTCTGGGACCGCCTTGACTCCGCAGACGCAATGGCAATGATGGAGACGAGGAGTACGCGGTGAAGCGGCGTGAAAAGCTCCCAAGCAACTGCTTCAGCGGGGTCCAGATCTTTCCCAACAATTTGTGACGAAGTGGCCTCCGCTTCGCCGACAAGGCCACCCTGAAGCGTAGCCCAAGGTGCTCCATAGGCGGGTTGGCTCAGAAAAGGTTGGCCCCGGCGGGTTGAAACGATCGGACGAGTCGGCTCCGAAAAGGTGCTCCATAGGCGGCGCAGGGAGGGGGGAGGAGGGAGAGAGATACAACATAATGCAGCCGACGTCGAGGAGAAGGTATCTTCGGCGGCCATGGCGAGACGGAAGGTGGGAGAGTAAAGGAGGGTGCGGGATATTAAGGGTAAACCCCCGTATAAAGGGTAAATGCCCCTGGAAATAAATGGTTCAGACGGTACCTTTCGAATTTTGGTGGCGACAACCAAGCGGCGAGGAGGCCACGACAATTTCAAATGTAGATTTGAAAAAATAATAAGAAACGCCACGTTGAGAAGGTTAACTTGCCGGTTCAGTATTCCGCTAACGGTTATTAAAAAAAATTAAGCCTCCTTTACTCTCGTTTTGCTGACATAAGAAATTGAGTAGTTCTTTGAATTTTTATTGGAACAGTAGTACTGCCACTTCAAAGGGAGTTTTGGCATCATAACTATCCCACTGTGGAACCTAACAAGGCCATCCACCGGCATCGAGCTCATTTTTTTTTTTTCAAAAAAAAAAAAAAAGACGAGATCGATGCAGAGGGGATTCGAACCCGGGATGGGGTTCCCAACCGTGCTCACTCACCAATTCTATGAAATTTGACAAAAACCTTTGCATTGTTCATAAATATATATGTTATTTAATTTCATCAAAAAATATATTTAAATTTTATTTTAAATTAAAATACACATTCAAATGTATATTCTTTTATTAGTAAACTATTTATATTGAAATCAAAATTTGAACTTCCACAAACTCATATTCTCATTCACGGTGAATTATTGTGTACGGTCACCTGATGTCCGGACAACCAATCCAGATGCGCCACGTCACCCAAATACATCGGGGTCCAATGCATTTTGCTGATGTGACGCGTCTGGATTGATGTCCAGACAAATCCGGACACTGGATACAATAATTTGCCCTCATTCACACGATATGTCAGAATTTTGATGCATTCCCCATTAATTCCTCTTTACACGCAATACTTTCCTCCACAAGCTCCGTCACACATGCCCCACTATGCCTGCTCGCAATCTCATTTAACATAATCTTCCATGTGGTTCCAACAAGATGTTTGAACTAACTTCAAACTATATTTGAATTTAGGTTATAACCGCAGTACAAAAAAGTTTAAATTTTAATTAGTTCGGACCAATTTTGAATAGCTTAATCAAATGAGCAAGCCAAAATAAATTTTTCATCATATTATTTTACAAAAAAAATTAAAAAATAAACAAAAAAACAAAAAACAAACATATTTGAACAATTATGCATAAGGAAATTGGATTTTAATATTTTATATGCTCCTTATTGCATCAAATTGAAAAATATATATATCTACTGCTTCGTTTGCTAAGGAAATATGCTCGAAAGTTTAATTCATATTAAAATATACGCATACACAAAGACTCAAACCCTAGACCTCTTGGTTGGAAGCCTAAGCTCTCAACCAACAGGCCAAGATGAGCTGTGTCTGACATAGTACTTGTATCCGACTGTATATGCAGGATGATGTCTCACCTTTTCCAGTTTAGCTTTAATTCTTTTTTTTTATTATTATTGTTGTTTTTTGTAATAACTTGTTTATAAAATAACCTAATTTGAAATTTCTAAAATTATGAGGTGTAGCACTACTGCGCTGGGATCACCGCTGTGTGGAGGTGGTGGCACCCCAACATTGAGCTTTTAGATTTTTTGTACGAAAAATGAGTTTTGAGTGAGCGTTGTGGCACCAAGGCAGCTTTTACACGGCGCCCGAGGCAGCGAAAGCAGCGGCACTTGAAAGTTGAGCGTCAATATACTAAGTCAGAATGGTGTCTTTTAAAATAATAAAAATGTCTAAATCTTTTTTAATTAATCTCACCACCACCTTAACCATACCCCTCATTTGCATGCCTTGTTAGGGAAGGAAGAGGAGAAAATGGGAGGAAGAAGAGAGAAAATTTGTTTCGAACCATTTTGATCCATCTTTCTAATTGAGAAAAGTGTTTTAATAATAGTAGATAACCCAAATCCTATTTCTACTTTCAGTAATTTTGATTTCTTAGATTTTATCTCTCCTAAATTTGATTAAAATATAATATCTCCAATTATAATGATTTTTTACTATGTAACTTTTGAAATGTGATAGATTATCATTAATGTCATGAATATTTGACTTGTTATGGTGTCGTATAGAGCTGTTATGGCCCCAAGTAGAGCTTTTGTGGTGTAGCGTCGTTGCAGTGTTGGGTCTAAACTTGGGAGATTCTTGGAGAATCATAAAGATTCTCTATGGACGCTGCGACGCTATAATTAATTAGTGCTTTTAAAATATTAAAAAAATATTGATCCATTTATCAAAACCAATTGCATCTTCAACTTACAGAGGAAGAAGAGAAAGAATGGGAAGATAAGAAAAGGGAAGGAAAGAGAAGGAAAAGGAGGAAATTTGGAGTCAAAGATCAGAAAATCGTTCGTTCAACCAGCTGAGAAAATTGTCGAGCTCGAGGTAAGCAACATGTTAACTATTTCTTATTTTAATTTTCAAGTATTTATAAAAAGATATGCTTTTAAATTTATATTCCTTGAGTTTGAGAAAGGTTGCATCATATAACACTTAGTATATTGTTATATTCTCCGTTTTAGATAATTTGATCATAAGAATACAAATTTTGACCGATTTGTTCATTTTGTATGAATTCCTAATGATTATGAAAATAGTTACATATATAAACCTTAGTACAATTGGCAAAGTATGTTGATTTAGCATGTCATAAAATCTCTATAAAATTAACAAAAATCTGATTACTCTGTATAGTCACATTAAATGTGGGGGATTTTATAGAAGCGGATATTTAATTTCTAATTGCTTTAAATTCTTAAATGACATATTACATTTATATTATAATGCATTTTATGATATTTTGAAGCTCTGTTGTGGAAAATAAGTATACTCTAAAATTCTCTGTTTGGGCCCAAGATGAATATATCTTTGTTTTGGATTATTTTGCTCTATTCTAGCTCTGACTCTCTATTGGAATATACTCAACTCTATTTTGGCTTTATTATGCACCTTTATTTAGCATATGGGAGATTAAATTTGGGAGTTATATGAACATTAATGCATGTGCATTCTTTCATTCACTTTTTTTATGTGAAAAAAAATAACTGTAAAGTAAATAGTACTTTTATTATTTTATTTATGTTTATATTGAATTGTGAATTGAATTTTATTATGTGGCGAAAAGGATGGCCTACTGAGTATCATACTCACCATGTTTATTATATTTCAGGTAAGGATAAGATTTCTCATGAATAGATTGAGTCAGAAAATATGATTTTGAAAGATATATATAATTTTATGATTTAGATAAAATTTTTCTTATTTTATTACAATAATTATAATTTAATTATTTTGAAAGAAATATTTTGTATTTACTCTCAGGGTATATATTATATATAATTTTGAACGATTAGTTGTCTATGGTGTAATCATAAAGTATAAAAGAATTAGCAAGTAAATAGGAAAAGTAGGTTTAAATTTTTGTTTTAGGCCTTGGGGTGTTACACGGCAGTATCAGAGTAACGGTTGGGAGGAATTTAATAAGTACTTGAGCCGTAGGAAATAATTCATCAGGATAAAGCAAGAGATAGATAGTTAATGTTTATTGAATTACTTATTCTTCTTCTTTTTAAGTATGAAGCATTGATGTGAATGGACCCTCAAGATCATGAAGCTGCTAATGGGCAAAGTTCCAGAGTTACTAGAGTCCCTTGTACAACAGAAGTTGTAACAATAGATTCATTGACATGTTTTGCTAAGCTAGTAGCATAGTTGATGGGAGGAGCCCATAGCATAATGTTAAGTGTGAAGGGGGATGAGTAGACCGTAATTTGTAGCTATTTTTTTAGACAAAGATCTCCCTAATTTTAAGGAGTCATAGATCCTCATGCTGCATAGGATAGGCTGTTGAGGTTGAAGAAAGCCTTTGATAGTATGTAGTGTTCTTAAGGTAGGGAAGCTTCCCTTAGCAATATTTCATATAGATTAATAAGCTAAGCATTGGTGGGTAGGTCAGCAGAGTGAAATTTTAGGGAAGAGGGAAGAGTGAATAATGAGATTTCTTGGGAAGAGTTTGTAGAGACCATTAGAGATTTTAAAGGGGTGACCCCATTTAAACGAGCTCAAGTCATTGACGTGAATGACCTTTTGAGGTTATTGCAAAGGTTACCCCTCAGTCTTAAATCATTTTCCACATACGACACTAAATTGTTACATTCTAAAAAAATTGTGATAGTAAAGAGATATAGAATTTAGTTTCCTTTCTTTGTGCAAATATTCAACATACAAACATATAAGATAGAGGAATACCAAATTCATTAGAGACACTAGAACTTTTATGTATAAACACTAAAAAAGAAGGAAAATCACAGGGACTTACCTAGTTTGAATGAATCCACTAGTCCTTGTAATCAATTACATATGATGTCCTTCATCGGGAGAAGAAGGTGTTGGGTCAATGTACCAAGTTTATATCATCTAAAGCATATTATATAGTTGGATAATGACATAATAATTGCTCTAAAGTCTGTTTGTTTGATTGGCAGATTCATAATCGGATGATGATGGCCAAAAGGACCATAGTTGGCAGATAACGGAGATTGGAAGGGCCATAATCAGGCAACAAAAGCCAGGTGGATCATACTCAGCAGGCAATAGATGTCAGTAGGACTGCAATCGAGTGATTGTGGTAGGAAGGATCATAGCTGGATGGTGAGGGTGGTTGAAAGAATCATAGTCGAGCGACAGTGGTCGGAAGGATCATAGTCAGGCAACAGTGGTCGGAAGGATCATAGTCAGACGACGGTGGTAAGAAGGAACTATCAATGGCCTCCAAATGGAGGTCTTACAATGATGGTATGGGGGATATTCAACAACGACAGCCTGGTGGTGATGATTTGTCGGGGTGGAGCTTCAAAATTCTATAAGACAAAGTGTCGTTTCTCTTCTTCGTTCCCCCCTCCTCCTCCTTAAGAAAAGAATGATGGTATATTTATAATTTTTTTAGTAGTGACATGACTAATAAATATGAAGAAGATCAAGGACATGTTGGGAGAGTTCCATCAGGTGATAATTGATAGCGATTCTCTTGATTATGGAGTGTTTATTAAGCTTTTTTTTGCCTTAATGATGTCAAAATTAAGTGATCTTGGGCTTGTTGGATTTGTTTCGTTGAGTCGCTCTATTCGACTATAAGCATGACGTATTCAACGATCATTTGGTTATCAATTTAATGCTTTGAACCATCCAAGTATACTTTGGACTCTTGATTTGGGCTTAGATTAGACTGATTTTGATGCAATTGGGTTTGTCTCTTCGTGATGTTCAATTTGACTATAAGTTTGTTGAAATCAAAACTTGGATGGTCCTGAATTTAATTATGGAAGTTTCTAATTCATATATGCATCAAGATTCGTGCCAGATTAAGGCGATTTTTTGTGGCTTATCAATTATGTTCAAATTTTATATATAGAAATCAAGATATGTAATATAAAAGAAGAGACCTAAGATATTCCATATGAAATAAATACATTTGTCATATTATCTTCATTGATGAAATATATGAGCAGTCATGAAATAAAAAAAAAGCTAGTATAATAAAATAAAAAATCATAAGATCCATTAAAATTCACATCTTAATTAGAAGAAAACCCTTTAAATAAAAATGCAAATAAAAAATTGATAGACCATTTGATTTTCTTAGAAGAACTAATTAAAATTATGATAATTTTATTATAAAATATATTTTGCATTCCTGTTCAAATGGCGACCGCTTGACAATACCTAGATAAAAATATTTAGGAAGGTGTAAAATATTTTGAGTTTTATTAAGTTTACTTGTTTTGATTGAATATAGAGATATATTATCTATATATAACATTATAATTAATAAATAAAATTAATTGTAGTGAAAATATAGAGTTACTTTGAAATTAATTTTGCATTTTAAGTAAAATATAAAATTAATTTATATTTTGAATATAAATTTATATTAATTTTACATTTTCATTTTAAATAAAAAATGAGAATTGTTTTTACATTTTTACTCTTTTTTTAATTTAAATTAATTTTCTATTATTTATATATTTCTATTATTTATATATTGAACATAATTATATAAAAATAGTGTCGCTACTTAAAATTTGAGCGTAGAATTTTACTTGCCGGCAAGGCTACAATATTTTCCATGGATTCGGAAGCATCAAACGATACGCGGACTGGCGACACCGACCCCTATACCGACGATCTTCTTCCAATCCGATATCTCGAGATCTCCGACCACGCCAAGGGTTTCGTGGAGCTCCTTGGTCAGCTCAGTCCCTGCCCTCCAATCTCCGTCGCTGAATTCTGCTCCCGCTTCGCGGAACTCGCAGCCCTCGGTGACGATCACATCATCTGCGTCATTGAGGATCCGAAAACTAGTCGGATCGTTGCCACCGGCAGCGTTTTCGTGGAGAAAAAGTTCCTCCGCGGTTGCGGCAAGGTAGGCCACATCGAGGACGTCGTCGTCGATGGCGCAGCTCGCTGCCGCCGTCTTGGGCAGCGAGTTGTGAGGTTCCTTGCGGAACATGCTAGGGTTGCAGGTTGCTATAAAGTTATCCTTGATTGCACCTCGGAACTTAGAGGATTCTATGAGAAGTGCGGTTTCGTGGAGAAGAATGTGCAAATGGCGATGTACTTCCAAGATTGATGTGGATGTATGTAAGGTTGCTGAGTTATTGATCAATGCTTTTGGCCATTTTTCAATTTTGGTTTAAACTAGCTTCTATAGTTTAGTTAGTTTAAAATTTTAGCCGTTTGTTAGCCCTTTATTATGTTCAACTTTATCATATATTTGTGTAGTTTCGAGATAAGTTGTTGGTTTTGAATAATTAATTTCTCTCATATGTTTTTCCTATAGATGCATTCAATCTCTTGCATTGGGAGCCTGAGTCCAATTTAGAGTGGTGAAAAAAACTTTAGAAAACAAAAAGTGGCTAGGAAATTTCGAGTTATTTATTCCTCTAATGACTATTTATACATAAAATTACATATAGAATAATTGGAAATAACTGAATATAATAACTCATAAAAAATATGTTTATCAACCTTCTACCCCCTTTAGGGCTTGTCGAATGCGTCAATTGGTACAATGCAAGTAATACGAGTCTTCCTTCATTACTTTCTTTTACATGGATCCGTGGAAGAGTTGTTTTCTTACTTGGACGAGTGATCTGTGGAATTGGATTTGATGTTTGTAAGAAAGATTTTATATATATGGGAAAATTTTTGAAGAGATATATATTGATATGTGTGATACAAAGTAGAAGTGTGTTGATATGTTGATCATTATTACTTGGCGATGGTTTTGTGGCTTGAGCTTGTTGGAGACTTTAGTTAGGCTTATTCCTCCTTGCATAAACTTGAAGTGACATTGATTCAAATTTACGTAGTTGGGATGTCAAGATGGAAATGAGTGGGTTTCTTAAATTTATCTTATAGTTGGTTGTTCTCCCTCTGAAGATGAGTTTGATTGAAAAAATTCACTTTTCATCATACATGACATCTTTTGAAATGAAGAAATTTTTAGTGAACGAAGGATGACACTTATATTTGTTTTTAGTGGAGAAATACCCAACAAAGACATATTTGAGTGCTATTGGATCAAGCTCATCCCAAAGTTGTTTATGGATATGGACATAAGCAATACACCCAAATATTTTTTGAGAAAAATTTGAGAAGAAGTTGTTTGTAGGGAAGTATTTCACAAGGTAGTTCAGGGAACTTTTGAATTAAATTACTCTTGAGGGTATTTGATTAACCATATATGTGGTGATTAGGAATGCTTGATTTTGGAAAAAAGAAGATTTTCGATGACTTCGAGAAGGTGATGGTATTTTCTTTTTATGATCTCATTTTGCTGGGGGATGTCAGGATGGGAGGATTGTTGAATGATATGCCATTTATTTAAGAAAGAAGATAAACTTTGGTTATAATAATCATAATGCAAAATGCTTGATGTCATCTTATTTTTGATTTTTTATTATATCAATAAAGATCGTGAGGGTAAAGCCGACACCAAAATTTTGTTTGATAATATATATCCATGCCATTTGAGTACAATCATAAAAAAAAGTGATAAATGTTATGGATTCTTGAGGGCCCTTAACTATCAGAGTGAATTAATATGAAAAGAGTAGATCTGGAATCACTTTCAGTAAAAGAATTTCAATGATGTTTTATTATTTCAGAAGTCTCACTATGAAAGTCTTCATTTTGAACATTCATCAAATACAAGAAAATATATATTGTAAGATTTTAAAAGAGGGATGCCTTAGCTTGTAATGATATTCTCAAATGATTTCTATATTGAAAATGAATGTTTTTATATTCAAGAATGTATAACACATCATTTTCTTTAGCTTGCCCAATTATTTTCCTCATATTGAGGTCCTAAAATAATTTGTGAAAAATGTTACCTTGTAGTTGTGTTATTTAGTCTTTTTATACTTCGATAGAATATTTACTGCAACGTTAGGAATATGAAGTACATCGTTGAAGGTAAATGCTAGAAAAATAAGAATATTCCTTTGATCTACAATAGTTGTTAGTGAATCATCAGCTATTTATATTTTTCTATTGATGGGCAGGGTTTTTAGGTTTGGAAAAAATTAATAAAGTTTTTCATATGATCACTAGCTCTTAAATCTAGGATTTAGATGTGAGGGGAATTTGAGATATTAAAAACACAGGAATTAGAATTCATACCATTTTGGGTTAGAAAGTACGACTCAAATAATTTTTCTAGAGAGTTAGAGAAAGTTCTTGAGTTTATCAATTTTTTCTGAGTTGAACCTTTCTAATTTCAAATGGCAATTTTGCTCTTTTGAGTGACCTCTTTGTTTTCACCATTATCTTCGAGCTTTCCATGAGATTTTCAATATTTTTCATTGATTTGCTCTTTTTTCTTGTAGTAGTTGCACCGGAGATTTCCTTTGAGAGAAGATTTTTGCCCCTGTTTTTGGGAAGAAGTAATTACAAGTTCTTTATCTTGAGCTTCCATGGTCATTATAGCAGATATTTCTGAGGTTTTGTTGTTAAGCATTTCCATCATTTTTTCTTCTTTGGCTCATGTAATTGAGAAGACTTCATTCAGAGATGGTAGATTTTTTCAGCTTAAATTAAATATCAATTGGTTGAATTTATTATCACGTTTTGTAAGAAACTCAAAAAACTCTCTCTCTTTCTACGAACGGCTTGGGAATCATTGCATTATTACTACATGTCATGTCTTAGTTCAAGCCATTAAACATTCATTGCATTAAAATATTCTTTGATAGGAATATTACCTTGCTTGGTTGTTAATATTTTAGTTTTGATTTCATAGATCAACATCCTTAACTTATGATTACGTTTGTTTGATGGTATCTCAAGCGCCTTTTGCAGTTGTTAGGAACATATATGACCCACTAATTTGAGAATCACAATATTAATAACCATGTCATGGTTATGGAATTTGTTTCATTCCGAAGTGCGAACATTGAGTCTTTTGGCGCTGGAGAGGATCCATAGGATGATGGATTTTTTCCTTTCTTTTAAGAAAGGTCTTCACACATTAGGATCACTTCATGTAATTTCTTCTATTCAAGGAATATGAGGCATATTGCTCTCAATTAGTCTGATTTTTTCCATTCATGATTTTTGACTTTTTAGAAGGAAAGTCAAAGAAGCTAGTCATGTTGAAGAGCGAAAAGAACAAAAGTGAGGTCAAACAAAGGATGAAATAAAGATAACCCTAAGTTTCCTCTAATATCATGTAGAAAAGATGAAATGGCTAGAAATTTTGAGTTGTTTATTCCCTCAATGGGCATGTATACGCAAAATTACATAAAGAATAATTATAAATAATTAAATATAATATCTCTAAAAAAAAAAAATGCTCATCAACTGGTTGCCTGCTTTAGAGCTCGCCGGATGCACTAATTGGCACCACATGAGTAATCAGAGGCTTTTTTCTATTCTTGTATATGGATCTGTATGAGAGGTGTTTTCTTACTTGAACGAGTGATTTGTGGCTTCTTCTTTCCTCCCAAGCATTTTTTTTTACCCCACTAGGCCTGTTGGCCTTTGGTCCCCACTAGGTCCTCCGGCCTTTCAAAAAAACCTATTCCATGCCCTCCAGCCACATCAGTGGTCTTCAATATCTAGCCAATGCCACTTCGTTTACTTCTATGTCATATGACATAACCTAAGTTACACAAGGATTCACATAGGTAACAAATATCAATGATAGATTAGTGGGTCATGGAATCCATTTGTCCTAATGATTTTATGCATCCGTGACAGTACCTTTGGCTACAAAAACATTGAAATTCTACCTGAATGTCACAAATCCATCATCATATTGTTTGACTTGGAATATGTAATTCCTGCTTTAATGCCATGCAATTCCTGTCTGAATTTGGAATATGCAATTATTCCATTATTTTCTGTGCACCAAAGCTGCTATAATGCTGTAAGTAAATATTTTCATATTAGCAATATTGTTACTTTGTAAGAAATGGAACAGCTTCCTTATTGCGGTATACTTTGAATCTATATGAAACTGCGCTCTCCATCTGTCCCACAATTCTTTTGACCTCAAATACATGCTGATTTAAAGTTTCTGTATTAATGCGGAACAGTAGTTTATCATTGAATGTCAATTTTTTGCATTGAGGAAGGCCCTAAAGACTATCCCATCCGCAATCATCCAGACGAACATTTAATTTTAGGCCCACATTATTCGACATCCAAAATCATTGACAGCTTGTATTATCTGAAAGACTACTAACTAGGAGGCATGTAGATTGGAACTGCTATATTGATAAAGAGATATTAGGAAGAAACTTGGCTAATTTTTATGACGGTATATGTTAATGCAATACTTGCATAGGCAAATGCATTCTCTCTCTCTCTCTCTATATATATATGTAGTAACGATAGAAAGGGAATAAAGAGTTTGTTACAGAGCATAGGCGTTTTATCTATCAGTGGTTGTGATCAGCTGGTGTGATTATATCTGTATGGTTGATATTAATTTATAGAGGTAGTAGCTGCTCTTGTGTGAGTATATTTGAGCATGTGTGGTTATTACCTTCTGATGGGGACATCAAATCATGCAAAGTATATCAGAGACGTGACCGATGATCTACGGCCACAATCGTGCCGATCTATTTTCGAGTCTTCATTTGCATTTGTTTTATTTATTTGCTTTATGTATTTGTTTTAGTAGTATTTCCCGCTATACATTTATACCCTTACTTAAGGGTTTTGTCATATGTAAGCCCTAGGGGCAATATCGTCTTTTATTTTCTCTTTCATTATATGAGGCTATATATAGACCCCTTATGTTTCTTTTGAAGTTAATGAATGAATGAATTATAATCAAATTTATGCAAGTTAAGTTCTTGTGAGAGCTTGAGAGTCTTTGGAAAGAAATCCCTAGGAGAGGGAATCGAATCACCCACCAACCTTGGAAGCATCCGGGTTTGTGGCTATTTTCATCCCTATTCTCTCTTCTCCTCCTCCCTCCCTTTCCTTCCACCACACAACCCAACCACCGCTTCCAAAACCGCCGGCCACCTCCAAAGCTTCCCATCGCCGGCCAACCATAGACCCCCATCCCTTCCTCTTTGGCTAACACCCCAACCTCCCCATCTCCCAACTGACCTTATTCCCCACACACCAAACTGGCAGCCCATCCAACCTAGCCGCCGGCCCCTTTGAATTCCCCCATCAATGCATGCAATCAAAGCCCTTCCTAATTGGGTCTTTATATTTTAGGTAACACAATTAATTCATAATTCAAATCTATTTGAATTTGAATTTGTTTCCTAAAATACGAAGTTCTATTTTAGGAAAGTTTTCAAAATTAATCATATTTGAATTTTAAATTAGATTGGAATGAGATCCCTCCTTCCTAATTTAATATTCCAAATTAAGTAGGCTTGATTTCTTTCCCCCAAATCCTTCTTCCCTCTTGATGCCGCCAACCCCCCTGCCCCACTTAAATGCTTTCCAAATTTAAAGCCTCATTGGAAAGAATTCAAAGCCTCTCCCTCCCTCTTACCCGCCCCCTCCCTCTTTCCAAATCCCTCTTAAATCTTTACAAATTAAAGGATTAATTAGGGAAACAATTTTTTAATTTCCTTCCATCCACCACCCTCTAAAATCTGAAACTAAATTTCCCCCAAGCATCTACTCTCATTGTTAATCTAGGGATGTTATTGAAAATCCCCTAAATTTCCTTATGTTGAAGTTCTAATTGTTTTGTGATCGTAATTATTATTGTGTGATTTGGCTTAAGCAGAGGCACCCCTCCCTTGTTTTCTATTGTCGTTAAGTGACTAACGTTTTAATTCTTATTGCTCTTACTTAAAAGCGTGCAAATCTTATTTCAATAATTCAAAGCATAAATAGTCATAACTGCGGAGTTTCTTGATGAAATTCTGACCATTATATCAAAAGGTGACTCGATGTTCAAGAGTTTAACTTCTTTTACTTAAGGGATTTCACACATTGAACATCAAGAATTTGAGAGATAAGGAAATGATGATACCATTGATTTTAATAGGTGCAGCATTGTCATTTACTTTGTTCATTCATAGATGAGGTTTTGGATTGATCCATGGGAAAGAAGAGTGTGGGTTGAACACTAATTGCTGTTAAGCAATTTCTCTGATACCATGAAAGACTACTAGTATAGTAAGCATGTTGATTGAGATGGGAAATGCTATATAGAGAAGGAGATAATAAGAAGAAACTTGGCTAATTCATTAAGATGGCATATTTTGGTACAATTCTTACATGAAAAATGCATTCTCTATATATATGTAGTAACATGAAAATGGGGAAAAAGAATTTCTTACACAGCAGAGGTGGTTTATCCATCAATGCTTGTTATTAGTTGGTGTGTTTATATCTGTTTGGTTGATATTAATTTTTGGAGCTATTGGTGGCTCTTGTTTTATGTATGGTTGTCATTATATTTCAGCAATATCTATCTACCAATGTCAATTTCAATCATTCTATGTCTCATTCATCGCAAAATAGCTTTGGCACCAATTAAGAATCTGGTGATACGCCTTGGGATAAAAAAACAGCCAACGAACAAGAGAAATTTAGCACAAAATAGATTTTTTTATTGCTAGGAATCAAATAACAAAAGTAAGATACAATGGTCCTCTTTTGAGAGGAGGACCTTCTCTTCCAAACCCTAGACGCCGCTAGGATCCCTCATACAAAGAAAACTATAGCCCTTAAAATAAAATCTGCATGAGAATAAAATAAACCCTACTATGAACTTAAACAAGCATCCTCTCCCTCCCTCCAAAATTAGCCTCCTTCCTAATATGTTTCTCTCATTAACTTGGAAAACAATTTAATTAGGAAATGTTTCAATAAGGAAAGTTTCTCCTAATATAATGCTTTAATTCTCTACTGGGCCCCACTCCCTCATCCGCCTCTCTCCGTGTCCGCCGGCCCCACCTAGGTTGGACTTCCTTGCTGGGTTGGCTAGTCTTTCCCTACTTTTGCTATATCAATACTCCCCCAAAATTTCCACCTTGTCCCCAAGGTGGAATGCACTGAACTACTGCTGCATAGTCTAGTAGGACTCCAACGTGACCTCGTGCTTCGGTAGACCCTTCCACATGATCAACATTTCCTGTCTTCCTGTTTCTCCTGGTAGCACTCCTGCTACATCCAGTGGTTCCAACAACACCTCCATGTCCTCTATCAAGGTCGAGGGAAGTATAGAGGAAGGAATGAGGCTCTCTTATCACCCGTCGCAACTGGACACATCGAATACTGGATGGATGGCTACAGATGGTGGTAACTGTAGGTGATAAGCCACGGCCCCTATATGCTTCACTATCTCGTATGGCCCAAAATATCAGGAGGATCGCTTATAATTCCTTCTTCATGCCAAGGTTTTTTGTCCGTAAACCTTATCGGTCATTGATGAGCTGCTAGATGGGTTGCATGGCTCAGTGGTGTTCTCAAAGATTGATTTGAAGTTCGGGTATCACCAAATCTGAATGCGACCATAAGACGACTTTCATAACTTATGAGGGACACTATGAGTGCTTGGTGATATCTTTTGGCCTCACTAATGCCCTCGCCACTTTCCAGTCACTCATGAATAGTCTGTTCAAGCCTTATCTTCAGAGGTTTGCTATGATATTCTTTGATGAGATCCTTATAGCAAGTCGGAGGAGTAGTTGGAGCACTTGGGGATG